AGAAGTACTGATTCTGGGTCAGTAGCTACAGGGCCACGCATGTTTGCAGAAAGCTGCAGAAAAAGAAGGAGATTCCCAGCTGTTATGACCCCTGGGTCATTATGTCATTTGTGTGCGGATTATTTTCCCCTCCTCCTGTGAGAGTCTGGCCGTTTCTCAATGTCGAGTATACCTGCTGCAGAGGCAGAGCCACTATTTCAAGTATACTACGTCATCGAGTGGCGCCGAATGCTGGGCATTTAACATGCATTTAAACAGTCCTTCGGCGCCACGCTATGACGTAGTATACTTGAAATAGTGGCTCTGCAGCAGGTATACTCGACATTGAGAAACGGCCTCAGTGTGGCTGTGTGTGTGTGTGAGTGAGCAGGTGGTGCCCGTTAGCTGATTGGTCCACCTGAAGAGACAGGAGCATTTAAGCTGCAGCCACTCAGTTCCTCTGCCCTCTCTCTCATCGACCTCTCCTACTCCCAACTCCGTGTCTGTTGTAGAAAACCTGATCTATCGTTCTGTGTGGTTAAATCTAACGATTACCGGTCCTTTTGTACTTTTTGGTATCTTTGTAAAGATAAGCTAATTTAATCTGTCTTGAAAGCCACACTTTGCTTGCCCAGGAGTGCGACACCCTTTTCTTTTGTTCAAATCCTGTTTAGACAGAAACCGGGGGGGGGACACACACATAATTGTCCTCATTGAACGTCCGATTCGCTCCCTTTTTCCTCTGTGTACACAGCTCGAGTGTGGGCATTGGCCTGTCATCTGATTTAATTTTTAGTTGCTGCTGTAGCGGAAGTTTAGTAAAGTTATGTTTGATTAAGTACGCCAAATCTCACCCTCCCATAATGCTTCATTTGCTTGATAATTTCAAACGGCGGTGATGACAGTTACAGTAGGCTACTACAGTACGTAGTAAAACTGATGTTGATGGGATTTGATGGGATGGCAGTGTCTAATCAAATCGCCAGCCGCCAGCCGCCTCTGAAGGGAAGCCAGAGGCCGCTGGCTTCCCTTGGCATGGCCCTGACCAATCACAGGTTGGCAGGGGCATCACGTGGGCCTCATCTGATTGGTCAATCCCTCCATTTTTTTTCACCAAGGGAAGCCCGATTCAGCTGGCCTCCTCTCGCATCATATTTTTCACAAAACGAAGACCACACCATTGGGAAGCTTAATGTCTGTTAATAAAAATAAGGAACAGGGAGAGGCTTGCAAAACTCTGGGAGTTGAGACTCAGGTGCAGGGTGAGGGTCTCATTGCAGGTCTTCAGGCTCCATTGAATCCCCCTGGGGTTCTTGTGCTGAAAGAGGGAGACAAGACAGGAGAAAGGGTTAGATACATCTATATAAGCAACCTATAGGATGGGACATTGCTGACCTATTTTAAACTTACCTTGTGTTTTCACTCTCACTTAAGTCCCTCTCCCTTTGCCATCAATCCAAAATCAGCTGAGCTGCAACATAATACAGACAGGTACATAATCAACAGAATCACAAGGACATTATATGGCTCTGCTAAAAACACTCACCCATAAGTTACGTTTTTGTTTACTGTTTGGAAGTCTCAAATATGCACTCTAAATCCATATCAATAGCGATGTATCACAAAAATAGCTCTCTTCCTTATTATTGTGTAACGTTAACTATATTATACTAGCTTGAACTCCAAAATGGATATCCTCATTTCACCACCTCCAACCACTACAATCACACGCCCCAATGTTATATTAAAGTGGACCTATCATGCTATATTTGAATAATATAGTGTAGGACCATACCTATATAAGGCATTATTTATACTTTTTTTTTTCAAATACCAAACGATCATGCATTTTAGCCATGCCTCATTTCGCTCAATTTGACATTTTTTAGCTCTGTTTTTGCAAGGGCTGATTCTTTGAGAACAGCACCACCTACAGGCCTGGAATATGTACTACAGCGTCTCCAGGGCTTTCGAACGGCAATAGCCGTGGCTGTCTCCTCCTGATTGGTGGAGTTGGCCCAATAGCCGTAGCGCCACCGTCCTGACGTCAGGACAGTGTTCAAATCTGGATCGCTGATGCACACCCAATTAATTCTGTCCTTTCCTCCGCTCAGAGATCCAGGTCGTCGCACGCATCTCTGCTTGTCTAGCTGACATCTCTCAGTGGATGTCTGCTCACCACCTCAAGCTCACCCTCAACAGCTCTACGTCAATTATGGGGTTTCTTCAAATGCCGTTGCCATGGCAACACAATGCCTCGCCATGAAACACGGTTTCTCATAACTTCCGTGAAAATGTTCCAAACAGCCCAAAACTTCACAGGTTTGGTAACGATGCAGCCATCAACGCATCTAAGCGTATTATGGGGTGTCATCAAATTCCGTTGCCATGGCGACAGGTTGTGAGTTCGAATCCCGCCAGGAACATCACCACTAGTGTGCCCTTGAGTAAGGCACTTGGTCCTTAGTTACTCCAAGGTTCAAGGTTCTTTATTGTCAATCTGACATAGCTACAGAGTAATTATGTAGTTGAAAATCTTATGTCACAGGCTTCTCCAACAATGCAACATAATAACATAATAACAATAAGAGCAAGAGCAATACAAAAAGAAAAATAGTTATAAAATAAAGTGATGATGTGGAATAGTGCAGTACGAGTCTATATACAAGTTATTGGAATGATATATATTAGATATTAGATACATATTACTGAGTAGCAGAAGAATGTTTTGAAGTTGTTTCAACAGTTCAGTTGTTTAACAGTCTCACTGCCCGCGGGAAGCAACTGTCTCCGAATCTTCTTGTCCTTGCCAGGATGCTGCGGTAACGTCTGCCAGACGGCAACAGAACAGTTTGTGGCTGGGGTGATGGGGGTCTTTGAAAATCCGTAGTGATTTCTTCCTGAGCCGCTGGGAGTAAAGGTCCTCCATGGATGGCAGCTCCATCTCCAGGGAGAATGTCCCTGTAATTGGTAATTGTAAGTCGCTTTGGATAAAAGCGTCAGCTAAATGAAATGTAAAAAATAATGTAATGTAACGGTTTGCAGTAAAGTTGTGGGGTGCTGAACTGTTCCTTTGAATCTTTTGAATTTGATACATGATATAATTACTTGTCTTTCAAATTTGAAGGAGGGTGAGCAAGCATCTTGAGGAATATTCATCATTAACTCCTCCAAAAAATATGGTTTATTCAATAATAAATGAATATGTGAATCATAACAGTGATTGACAGCTGATAGGAATAATATGATTGTTAATAGTATCATATTCATTAGACAAACATCGATGAGACAGTTAATTAATGTACCTTATTGCAGCAGTCTGCATAGATTTGGTACCCTGCTGGTCTAAGAGTGAAACAAACTCATTCAGTTATTGTTCAGTTAAAACTCATTAAATTATGTCTGCCACCTTATATATTTCTATTTAAGGCTTTAATGATGTGCCACAATAATGTCACCTAATGTTATTGAGTTACAATATTAATATTGTGGCTTTCCAAGTTAACATTGATTGATATGAGTGTGATTAAATCAGCATATACTTCTGCCAGGGGATGCCACCCCTCAAAATCTCCTGCCACCCTCTTGCCACCCCATGAATATTTGTCTCAATCCGCCCCTGGTACCTGGGCAAGACACTTCACCCCAAATTGCTCCTGTGAGGATTGCCCACACAGTATGAGTATTGTAAGTCGCTTTGGATAAAAGCTGTTTTCTTCTAACAAGTAACATGTAATGTCATGTCATGTCATCAGGCTTGAAATTTCCACTATGTGACTTTAATTAGAAAATATTCGAAAGTCAAGGTTATACAGACGGTAAAACACATATAGGCTATACTGTTTTTTATAAGATTATAAATCGAGGTTTGACCTAATTGTCAGTATTGATTTGTAAACATTAGGCCAGTCCCAAACCGTCATTTGAAATGAAGATGAGAATTTTCAACAAAAAATGGATGGCAAGAGGAATGTTCAGCATTTGCAGCATTATGCAACTTACAAAGGCAGAAAGACATTCACTATCTGTGCTAATACAGAACCGTTCTTTTAAAACACTGACATTGAGCGCAGGAAAGCTTCATTTATTGTAAGGTTTTTTTGTTATTTTCCCTCTCCTGTGCAGGGGTTGTCAGGTCCATGCTTTCTGATCCACGACCCCACATGGCCTCAACCCTCTATAAAAAGTGTTGGCTCATTGTGAAGAATGTGGCTCCCTCTAGCCGCTAGTAAGGTGTCACATCAGTATTTCAAGTACATTTCATTAAAGATGCTTTCTGTACATTTTCTCTGCAATATGCTCTTTGTGTGTTTTCCATCTGTGAACACTTGGTAATGCATGTGATTGACCTGCTCTTAACAATGTGCCATATACATATGCAAACAACAACATCAAATGGTATTCCTTTGATATTATTGATAATAACTGAAGTATTATGAAAGTAAGCTTGCTCAACATGAAACAAAGTCAAAGCTGTTACTGTCATTTCAAATGAATGGCGTGTACCCTGATGTTCTATATACACATATCATAGAAATACATCATTTCAAATGAATGGCTGTGCCCTGATGTTCTATATACACATATCATAGAAATACATCATTTCAATTGCTTGAAGTCTGTTTAATACATTGTAACTTTGTCAGATATATCATATTAGTATGTGAAAACAATACTACTTTACAAAACGACTGTCGTGATGATAAACCCATGCTTGGGTTTTGCTTAACTAAAACTAAACTTAAACAAACAAATGTAATTCATAAGGCTCTTCAAGAACAGTTGCCTTAAAGTCAGCGGACAGTTCCCTTTAACCAAGATCAGATACAATTTTTCAGTAAAGTATGCGTTTTCGTCTCAGGCAGAACAAATAAAACTTTATAAAATAATTGGGGTGTAATACATTTCAAAAATAACTTATTTCTACATTCCCTGCTGCCAGAGCTCGTATTATGCTGTGGGAGTTATCAATCATTTTAGCTAATTTGATTAAATTAGTTTTCAGGCACACATATTTTCAGTCATTGACATGACTGTATTAGGTTAGTTGAAAGCAATAATATTAAGTTGAACCTAATGTTCTTTAAGTTAACTTAATATTATGCTTCAAACTAACATGATGCAGTTATGTGAAATCTGTGACATAACACATTCAATTAAAGTCAACGTTTATTTTCTTTCAATGTAGGCTCGTCTCTTTCACATAGGCTTCAGTGTACAGTGTATATATAATGTTTAGATGTGTTAGAAAAGCTGCAGCAGGCTGTGTGTTAATGGAACATGTTACAGCCTTGGTGGCGGTCAGGAGACAGGAGAGAACTCATGTGTTCTTGGCACTGACTAGGACGACTTAATGGTTTCTCCTCCTCATCTCTCTGGACATCTGACACCAGCTGCAGGCCGTACAGAAGGTGGCAAACAGACAGTCCCTAAACATGGTGTCCTGCAGGAAATACAGGTGAAAAATAGGATTTACAGGCTGCATCATTGATTCTGATCATTATTCATACACTTGGTTTACCTTTCTAAAGTCTTTTTTAGAAGTAATTCTAAAGTAATGTTTTGAAAAGTAGGGATACCAAAACCCTGAAATAGCGACACTTTCCTTCCAGGACTGAGGTTTTTTTTTTTCTTTTACCAAAGGTTCACAAAACCTTCAAAAGGTTGCTTTCTAAACCCAAGCCATGATTTCCTCCCAACTCTAACAAAGTGTGGACCTTTATTGTGTCAGTAGGAATACAAAAAAACACACAAACATTTTCCTAACCCTTAAGGAAATTGTTGTTTGTTGAACTGTTGAAAATCTTAAAAATCTTGAATATCACTTTCATATTTTTGTCGAATCAGACACTCGTGATTGTTAACACTTTCTGGCTTTACAAGTTCAAATCATGTAACTTGACATGTCTCCCTAAGTCTCAATGAAATACAAAATGATAGTATATCAACAGAAATCGCAAATAAAACTCAAATATTTCTGCCATCTGACACCAACAAAAGAGAATCGTGTCTTACTTTGATGCGCGTAGCGCTCCCTCATGGAGACCCTCATGGACATGGTGACGGGAGGGACACAACAAGACATGTCCAACAGGGGGAGACAGAGACCCTGCCCATATGTCTTGGTTGTTTTACAGGCGAAGCAGGGACAGCACCAGAAAGCAAAACAACCTTTACCAGAAATAAACAAATACCAGATAAGCAACCGATAAACACACCTATTGTAAAAATGACCAACACCTGTAAGATCCCAGAGACAAAAAAAACACACAAATATGCACACAATCATTTAAAGGTCCCATCATATGTTTTTCTGGTTATTACCCGTCCCCTTGTGTGTTATGAAGGTTTTTATTCATGTAAACGGTCTGCAGAGTCACAAACCCTCAAAGTACACCCCTGTAGCGAGTACAACTCTAACACAGAAAAGACCTGAAACCAGAACGCCTCGTTGGAGATTTTCTTTCTTCCATTTTTTCCTTCTGGGTCCTATTGACGTAACAAAGTCCAAATGGACCAATCCGCGGAGCTCCGCACACACACACACACACACACACACACACACACACACACACACACACACACACACACACACACACACACACACACACACACACACACACACACTCACTCAGCCCTTATCTTTTCTCAGCCGCGGTGCTGCGCGGAGCTCCGTACACACACACACTCGGAGCTCAGGCTGTGAGTGGGGGGGGGGGGGGGGGCAGGAGCTCCAACAAGCCGTGTGAGACAGAGAGTGAATACACATACTATACAGAGATGCTGTATGAGAAACCAATGTGATTTTGGAACATTGAACAATGTAAATCTATTCTAGTAGACCTCAACAATGGAATTATGATCAATAGAAATGGCCATGACATGGGACCTTTAAGATACTAATAAATAATTAGAGTAAGTCAATTACCTTTCCTTTCTAAATATTTCAGGTTCACTTTTTTTACATCAGACTTGGCTGTGTATTTTTGCTGTTATTTCATAAAACATGGATGAGTATCTAACATTATTATTTTGAAGTATTTAGTTCAATCGACACATAAGATTGGTAGGTTTGTTGCAAAAAATTACACATTAAATCAGTAAGGAAATTACAAAATGTACTGTAACCCTTTGTGTTTTTATGATGCAGCTAATATCAAAATATGAAAGATTAATGTATTTGAAAACTACAGAATAAAAATGAACAACATCTTGTCCTTTGAGTAAGCAAACGATGCCCTTTTGACACATAATCATAGCATGACTGTGCACAAGAGATACAAATCAAATATAAACTATACTTGTAACTTCTCTCATAAAGAAAAGAAGTGCAGATACTTACACTCAGGCACATTTTGAAAGCAGTCACAGATCCCTGATCCCCACTCATCAGAGTCCCGGGTGTCCATCACACACTGAGGCTGGCTGTTGACCATTTTGGAAGTCATGATGGCTTTCTCAAGGAGGAACTAGGACTTAGAGTTCATGTCAAAAATGTTTGTTATTGGTGCTTGTACAAATACAGTCATATGCAAAGTGTCAACAAAGAAATCATGGGTGCTGGCAATACCCTTGCTACAAGATTGAAACAAAAACACCACATACTTTACGTATTTCATAGTTTCAGTTAGAATGTTGCATCATTTTACAGTATAATATAATTTGTTCAATAAGATATTGTAGAAGGACACCACTCCAGTGCTGCTCTGGTGGAGGCTTGTAAGCATGTGAGCGTTAGAAATATAATACTAACCCGAGGACAAAGTATTGAAATGTTTTTTTGTGTTTTTGGCATGGCGAAAAACAGGTTCATAGATACACCTTTACTGCATTTGGTCTAACAAGCATATAGGTCAAGCTAATGGGGCTGCTGTGACTCAGGAGATCTGATGGAGCACGTTTTTCACCAATTACAAGGTTGATGGTCAACATTGTAAACACTTTGGACTAAAGCTTCAGCTACATGTAATACATGTAATGTAACCAAAGTGCTTTTGATAAATGTGATTTATTTTGATCATGGCCGTGAGATTTCCCTATTAATAACCAAGTGGTTAGTTAAGTAACCATGACAAAGAAGTCATTTATTTGGGTTTGTGTGTTGGAATAACAGCCTGCCGATAGATCAGATATCACCAGTATTTGTCATCCCGGAGGGGAATTACAGACAATGTGCTGTGTCATCATTTGAGTGACTTGTTAGAAAATAAAAGTCAGGTAATTTAAATTGTCCAAACAAAATGCTTTTTTTGTCAAGAAAACCTTTTCCACATTTCTAGAGTTTCTCTTTGATTTTCAATATATTTAGGGTCCAAACATCCTCTGCCATTTGAATTATCACATTCTTATATATTTTTTTGTTGACAATAACAGTTACATCTTTCAGCCAACCAGATTAATGAAGAATACACACATCTATAAATGGTCAACAAAGGTATTTTCTTTCTGACCTATGGATATAAAGGTGGAATAATATTTCATGGCAAATTGCTTGCAATTGCAAAAGTTGGTGCTAGTTAGTGCTATCCATACAAAGAGCACACACTCTACATTAGAGAAAAATAAGATGACACAAATACAGACAGGTTACAAATAATAAAAGCACTATATATAAATATATAGAGTAGCTACTACTTATGCATTATCATGATAGTGCCGAGTTAATATCTTACCTGTGTATTTGTGTGTTGAGAGAGCTCTGAGTCGTACGTCCTGTTACAGCCGGTGTCTGCACTGAAGTGCATATCTCTTTAAATATTCAGCTTTTAAACTCTTTTTTTAACATGGAACTCAATGGGAGGAGCCTTCAAATCCTCTTTTACCTACACCTTGCGCCAAATGCTTCTCCTTCCACATACTTTCAGCTAGAGACTTCATTCCAACTTTAAAATGATCACAACACCTTCAGCTATTCAATTCTTCAAATTTTGATATATTTTACACTTTTGAGATATTTAACTTAGTTTGGAGCTTGGGGGGGGGGGGGGTGCTGTTGGCTGTGCGTGGTGATGAAAAGCTCCACGCAGGGGCCCCCAGTGAATGTTTGCCTAGGGCACCCACAGACTCTAGTATCGCCACACCCGCTAAGAACTAAGGTGAGGCTATTACATGAGCACCACCAAATACACGTCATGACCTCATGTCCGAAACTTATGTGACACTGTTGCTTAATGCAGTGGTTCCCCGACCTTTTTTGTGTCGTGTACCCCGTGAGCTGGTCGTCATTCTATAAGAACCCCCTCCTCACTCATCTGTGATGATTCGCCTACATTTTGTACTGCTCTTTAAATGAAAATCACTTTTATCACCCTTAAAGGTCTCCTATTTTACTATTTTTAGGCATATATTATGGGTCTCAGATATATACAAATATATAAAAAAACATGTCTATGAAGTGTTTTGCTCAAAATACCAAACAGATCACCCATTGTAGCCATGCCTCATACCCCTCTATTTCAGCCCTGTTAGAGAAGTACTGATTCTGGGTCAGTAGCTACAGGGCCACGCATGTTTGCAGAAAGCTGCAGAAAGAAGGAGATTCCCAGCTGTTATGACCCTGGGTCATTATGTCATTTGTGTGCGGATATTTTCCCCTCCTCCTGTGAGAGTCTGGCCGTTTCTCAATGTCGAGTATACCTGCTGCAGAGGCAGAGCCACTATTTCAAGTATACTACGTCATCGAGTGGCGCCGAATGCTGGGCATTTAACATGCATTTAAACAGTCCTTCGGCGCCACGCTATGACGTAGTATACTTGAAATAGTGGCTCTGCAGCAGGTTTACTCGACATTGAGAAACGGCCTCAGTGTGGCTGTGTGTGTGTGTGAGTGAGCAGGTGGTGCCCGTTAGCTGATTGGTCCACCTGAAGAGACAGGAGCATTTAAGCTGCAGCCACTCAGTTCCTCTGCCCTCTCTCTCATCGACCTCTCCTACTCCCAACTCCGTGTCTGTTGTAGAAAACCTGATCTATCGTTCTGTGTGGTTAAATCTAACGATTACCGGTCCTTTTGTACTTTTTGGTATCTTTGTAAAGATAAGCTAATTTAATCTGTCTTGAAAGACACACTTTGCTTTGCCCAGGAGTGCGACACCCTTTTCTTTTGTTCAAATCCTGTTTAGACAGAAACCGGGGGGGGGGACACACACATAATTGTCCTCATTGAACGTCCGATTCGCTCCCTTTTTCCTCTGTGTACACAGCTCGAGTGTGGGCATTGGCCTGTCATCTGATTTAATTTTTAGTTGCTGCTGTAGCGGAAGTTTAGTAAAGTTATGTTTGATTAAGTACGCCAAATCTCCACCCTCCATAATGCTTCATTTGCTTGATAATTTCAAACGGCGGTGATGACAGTTACAGTAGGCTACTACAGTACGTAGTAAAACTGATGTTGATGGGATTTGATGGGATGGCAGTGTCTAATCAAATCGCCAGCCGCCAGCCGCCTCTGAAGGGAAGCCAGAGGCCGCTGGCTTCCCTTGGCATGGCCCTGACCAATCACAGGTTGGCAGGGGCATCACGTGGGCCTCATCTGATTGGTCAATCCCTCCATTTTTTTTCACCAAGGGAAGCCCGATTCAGCTGGCCTCCTCTCGCAACAGTGAATGCAATCTACTGTTTCACCATAACATCTAGAGGGGCGCTGTTTGTTTCACTCTTTGTAAAATACTCAATGAGTGGGGGAGAGACGGGCCGGCAGCAACACACAGCAAAGGAGAATTATCGAAACAAACCAAGTGTTTTTAATTATTTATTTAAATTATAACTACAATCCGAGAAAACAGGGGAAGCCTGGCTTCCCTTGGCCTCCGGGAGAAAACGCCACTGAGGTCAGGTCTGCCCTGTGGCTGTCAAGGTACAGGCCATTATAGATGTCCCAGCGCCGTCGGGGGGATGGCTGGCTATTACCGTGCGTTCTGCAGACATTTTTCTGATGTTGTAGCTCCCTTGGCGAGTTTAGCAAGTCCCAAAGTCCCTTTCCAGTGGTCATCGTCATGTCAGTCGGCTTTCGAGGCCGCCCTCTGCAGTGCCCCTGTGCTCGCTGCTCCAAACTTTACCCGCCCTTTTAAACTGGAGTCATTATGTCATTTGTGTGCGGATATTTTTCGCTCCTCCTGTGAGAGGCTGTGTGTGTGTGTGTGTGTGTGTGTGTGTGTGTGTGTGTATAGGTGGTGCCCGTTAGCTGATTGGCTGCCTTCGACAGCCTGATCTATCGTTCTGTGTGGTTAAATCTAACGATTACCGGTCCTTTTGTACTTTTTGGTATCTTTTTAAAGATAAACTAATTTAATCTGTCTTGAAAGACACACTTTGCTTTGCCCAGGAGTGAGACACCCTTTTCTTTTGTTCAAATCCTGTTTTCTCCTGTTTTTTCGTTAGGTTAGGTAGAAGCCTGTATTTTTTTTTACTTATTTTTGTTAGGCAAGATGTATGTGTGCCCAGGGTTATTTGTTTATGTGGGTATCTCGCCTCCTTTAAAAACAAACAGGTAATTAAAATGACCAAAGGCATTTTTTTCTGTCTCATTGTCCATGTCTTGGGAGTGGGGAGAGTGCAATTTTGTGCTGCGCCTAGGTTCCCCTAGACCTGGGCGTAACACAGCTAAATGCTGCCTTGATTAAATGCCACATCATGTTCAAAACCACATCAAGGATTATTTCTGAAACAGTATTGAACTCAAATCCTTTTTCTCTTGCGGGTTTACCACAAGGTGGGTGAGTACTTATTTATATCCTGCTTTTTTACATATACTCTCTCCTGTAGCGTTAGCTCTGAGTGTTAGCGATGCTTGCTAATGTAAACACAGACCATATTACTTCCAAAACACGTAGCGCATTGTTTCTGATAGCGACGTTTCTGATAGGGCCTTGGGTGTAAAGCTAGCCCACATTTCCGATATTACGTCATATCGGCAGCAAATCTGGATCAGCTCTGTTGAACCCCCGTTTTTAGAGATTTGGGGACACATGTTTATGTATAAAAGACATAAAAAAGTTAATAAACTAAGCTAATAAGAGCACTACATCATTTCAGTGAATAAAACATTGGTCATAGTTCAGTTCAGCCAAAAGTAACAACTCAATGTAGCATCAAATCATAATTATTTTATTCAAATCCATCTTCACATTTTATGTTATTACATCCCAGTACACGCACACTAGGAATATTTGAACAGTGAATGAAACGATGTATAGCTTTCAGTGTAAGCTTTGTTTGTTTAGCAAAATAATTAAGCACCATATCGAACAGCATTAGTCAAGTTCAGCGATAAGTGCCTTGAACTGTTCAGTTACGTTCTATTTTATAACAAATAAACCTTGAAAAACAGAAGACACAAGACAAGATAAAAACATTCATATCCAAAGCAGGAAGGAAGAAAAGAAATGTGAGAAAAAAACAGTAACAATTTATGAAAAAAGAAAAAAGGAAAGATGGACAAGAACTGCTATCACTGTGCGACATTCAGAGGAATTACTGCGGGATTCTTTAAAACTGTAGTTTCATTGATTAAAAGCCAATTGTCAATAATTCTACAATGATGCGTTTCTAGCATACGGTCCGAGCCCCTAACTAACTGTTGCATAGGGGGAGACAACGTGGCCTGAGGATCTAGGCCAGGTCCTCTTCGCCTTCGCCTTCAAACTCGCCCTCCTCCTCAGCGGTGGCGTCCTGGTACTGCTGGTACTCAGACACCAGGTCGTTCATGTTGCTCTCAGCCTCTGTGAACTCCATCTCATCCATGCCCTCGCCAGTGTACCTGAAACAAGGACATATTACTCACTGCATACAACATTCACTCTTTCCTGACATTTATTGGCCAAACGATTCATCTTGAAATACGTAAACCCTCTATCACTCACCAGTGGAGGAAGGCCTTGCGGCGGAACATGGCGGTGAACTGCTCTGAGATTCGCTTGAACAGCTCCTGAATGGCCGTGCTGTTGCCGATGAAGGTGGCGGCCATCTTGAGGCCCCGTGGAGGAATGTCGCAGACGGCAGTCTTCACGTTGTTTGGGATCCACTCCACGAAGTAGCTGCTGTTCTTGTTCTGCACGTTCAGCATCTGCTCGTCCACTTCCTTCATGGACATGGGGCCTCTGAAGATGGCGGCTACCGTGAGGTAGCGGCCGTGGCGCGGGTCGCAGGCTGCCATCATGTTCTTGGAGTCGAACATCTGCTGGGTGAGCTCAGGAACCGTCAACGACCTGCAGGAAGAACAACCATCAGTAAGTGTTTATTTTAAATGCATTAGTAAAAGTGTTAATTTAAATGGTGTCAATCCATTCAAAAAAGTAATTGCCTTAATAGCGTTTTAAAATACTAGCATATACATGTATTTTAGGGGGGAAAAAACTAAAACATGTGTGGTGTTGTAATAAAGAAAAAGCATGACAAAAGGGTGAGTGTTATACATGTAGCCTGTGCCAGTTAGTCCTTTCACTCGCATTCCATTCATAGCCAAACATCCTCGCTGGAATTACGGAAAGAAATTGAGGTCAAACTTGCAAACATTTCCGTTACTTGTATTTTAAAAAATATGACTATTTCAAATTGTGGGTCCATTTGCTGTTGACACGTTGTAAAAGCCCCCGCCGCGGGACAAATGAAGGATATGTGATCATTACAGCTATTTAATATTTTTGTATTTACTACACCAAGAAAACCCTTGCGAAATTGAATTGTACCAGAGTATAATGATGTAATGACAGTAAAAATACAGCTTGAGGGTCTGACAGTCTCTCTACCTGTA